GGAAGGCTGTCGGGGGCGGCTCCTCCTCATCCTCCCGAGTTGCTGCTGGTGAGTGTGTGCCACCGCTTTGTGCCACCCGCCGGGGGGACAGCGGTGGGCCGGGACACCCCCCCGAACCCACACACACACCACCCCCATCCCCGGTGGGGCTCCCCGCCCGTGTCCGGCGGGGGAGGGCAGGCAGCGCTTCCCGGCCGGAGCGCGGCGCAACCGGAAAGTTTCCCGGGCGGGAGCGGAGCGGCGCCGCCCCGCACCGGCTCCCCCGCGGCGGGCGGGCCCGGAGGGTTTGCGGCCGAGAGTTCGGCCTCTCCGGGCCCCCCCATCCCCGACTTCTTCCTCTCTCTTCTCAACTTGATGGAGAGGGGGGTTTTCTTGAGGAGCGCGGAGCGATGTGCTCCATCTGTCCGTCCATCCATCCATCCATCCCCGGCCGATGCCGATGTAGGTAAAGGATGTAAACCTAAAAAAAAAAAAAAATAAGGAAAAATTATACCTCGTGGACTGACTGCTCAGTAAAGCGCATCCCTGGGTGTTTTGGGAGTAAAATTACTTAAGCTTCCAAGCCTTTTTGTCCTGTTTGGAGTTAAAAATGTGCCTGCACTAACAGCTAGCCCTCGCTGGCAGGCCGGGTGCCGTGGCCCGCCTCAGGTGAAGTTGTCAGATGGGGATTCAGGTCTGTAATTCGGGTCTGACCTGCGGCTGGCTGATGGCGGGTGCCTCTCGGCTCCGGTTCCGATGTCAACGTCTCCCACCGTTGGCGTTTCTTACAGTACGTGTGGCCCTCTGCGTGCGTCAGGGTTATCCTGTGAATTACACGTAGCAGTTCGACTCGGAACCGTCTTGCTCTTTTGTTACTTTAAAACTTGAATGCTGACTGAACCTCGGCAAGATCTTTGAAAGCTTTCTTTAGCTGAACGGCATTTCTTCCTCACGCTGTGAAGCAATATTTGTTTCTGAGGAACATACCGCTACTGTTGTAGTGGCTCCACGTAGGAGAATTCGACTCTTCTTTCATGCGACGTGGTAGTGACCTTTGTAAAAACAAATTTTCATGGCCTAACCATGCGTGGTTTGTGTCATCAAGAGTTTGGACTGGTAACTTAATATGGAGGAATTTGAAAGGACTCACTGGGTAGGAACTTAGGAAGAATCTCAGTTTGAAAGTACTTTTTTTGCCACTGCTTTTTAGGAATCTGAAGCAGTCGGCACCACATAGATGATGTTAATGGTACTGTGTTTTCATTTTTAGGATTAATAACTTCTGAAGGAAAATAATGTTGGTGCGTAGAAACAACGGATTTCACAACTCTAGGAAATCAAAATGGTCTGTCTGACTCGAGTCAGTTTAAGCAGTTAAGCAGATCGCTTTGTCTTCATAACGGGCTTGCTCCTTGAGACTTTGACAGAAGATGTCACTTTCGGGAATGGTGAATAAATGTAGAGCTAGACCTGTAATGTACGAGGAAGATCAAGACTGTAATTAGCAAATATTTTTATATAGGCCATGAAACAGATACAGACTCCTTATGATGTTAGCTCTCACTGCTGTCGTTCTGTCGTTGCAATATTAGCGGTTGTATTGGCCTTTTACTTCTACCAGATGGCATTTCCAATTGCTGTTGTGATATAATGATACACAAAATTATTTTGCTATGTTTTTCCAAAACCACCAGCAGAGTTTAATCCTTGATGCTCTGGATGGTGCTTCTTATTACATCCTTGCTATTAAATGTATGATAAATTAAAAGCTCCAGCCTTTGGCTTGTTACTGTAGTGCAAAGGGAACTTCTTAGCTCCCCTTCCTCTCTTTTCTTCTATTGTTTCCTGACTAGCTGTGTGGAAGCCTAAGGTATTTTCTCTCTTATGTGTCACCTCGCATCTTGTGTCTGCTAAAGAAGAGGGACAAGGTCAGTGGCATCTGCTTCTTTTTCCAGCCTTTGTTTTTTTTGTGCCTTGTGTTGCTGTTGATATGTTACTCCTTTGTGGCCCTCATGGTTTTCCTTGGTAGAAACTGTAACAGCAGCAACTCAAAATGTGATGCCCAGATAGCTTTGTTTGCTGGTCATGGTCTTGAGCAGCAGCAAAACTACCCGGAGTACCTGTGTTTTTCATGCTCCTTGAGCATAAAAGCCGCTTCTAGACTCATGGAGACAGGTGCTGTATCAATTTACTTGCCGCAGGTTTGAAATCAAAACCAAGGCATCTTTGAATCCAAAGCGTATGTTCTAGAAAATATTTCCCATTTGCATCGAGGGACCGATGGTTTCTAAGCCCTGGGTATTCACCGTCGCTCTGCGTTTTGAGGAAGGAGGATTGTTTGCTGGTGGGGATTTATTAGTGGAGTTTGAAGAAGTTTTCAGAGAGCTGAAAACTGTCTGTGAAACCAGGTGCTGCCGTGTTTCAGTTACTTTAGCTAGACCTGGGCTGAGGTGCTGGGTGCTCATTGCCGGGCACCCTGCTCCCCTGAAGTAGATCATCTGACGTGTTGAGGTGCTCTGCAGGAAAGATGTGTTCTATTTCTACTGAAATAATAAATTTAGAGGCAATACACTTTATCCTTGTGTTTACTAGGTATACAGAAATGTTGCAGAACAATAGTTTCCTCAAAGTCAAGAATCCCTATTAGTTCCTGGAGCAGAAGACCTTCAGAGAGAACAGGGATGGTGTTTGTAATGTGGGAAATAGCATTGTTTCTTCTTCCTAAAGCATGAGGCCTCATTTAACCCGTGCACCTTTGTCCAGCCTTCTGAAAAAGATACTACATGAGATCCTGGTCACTTACACCTTTTGAAAAATGACTTTTCTGTTTGTTTTACTTTGAAATTTATGAATGTTAGCACAGGAATCCTAAGCTCATTTCTGGTTTTGGTACTTCCATTTAAATTTTTCTTGCAGATTCAATTAGGCCCATTAGTTTCCTCATAATAATGTAGTCAGTCGTCTGTGTTCTGCCCAATTAAACTGTTGCTCTGTTTGGTGGTGGGTAAAGTAATTCTTTCAAGTGTTAAGTTGTTTTTTTTTTTTATCTTGGAGTAATCTCTTTTCCCCATCATAAGGATTCTTAATTGTTTCATAAATGCTAATGAAATGAGTAAATTGCAAGTGCATTGAAATATGAAATATATATTTTTATATTCCATTAAATATATGTGACACAATAAATTGATTTGTTTCTCATCATTAATGAAGTGAGTTCGTATTTTAAACTCAGCATAAATAACTTTGTGTGCAGTGAGGTGGCCTGGCAGTGTATGTTTTTAAGCATTAATAGAGTATTGTAAATTTTAAGAATTCAGGCGCAGAGGAATAAATCTTGATTAGAGAATAGCAGCCCATTGCATTTTAAATTACTGCAGCTACATACAATAACCCAATGTCAGTAAAGTCTTAGAAATACTTGTGCTAAGAAAAACATCTGTTAAAGTGGAAGCTCAGGCATCCTGGTATGGCCAGTATTTGTTCAAAGTCATAGAAACAAACTTTGTGGCTTAGAGGCTTTTTTCCCTCTGTAAACTTGTGATGGTTTTGGTCCTGATTGCATTAACAAGTGTTAATATGGTGATCTATAACTAATATTGATTATTTTTGAAGCAGACAGTGGGGTGAACACACTGGGATTCTTGGTAGATACCTGAATTCTCAAAAATGTTGCTTCTCTCTTACAAAGATAACAAGATACAGATGCAAAATAAAATGCAATACAGGTGTGTTTTTACTCTAGGCTGAGGAAACTTGGTCCAGTTTTTCTCAGCTCATCTAAGTTACTGACTGCAGAGTACACATGACTGTAGAAATAGATACGAAAACAGGTAGTGAGATAGACCACATGTAGAGTATAGCTGAAATTTTATTACACAGGACCTGGTATATGTAGTATGTTTACATAATCAGGTGATAACCTTCTCAGGCAACCTCCTTTTTTTTTTTTTACACCAAATGAAACATAAACTTCATTTCCAATAACATTTTAAAATAAAATATATATAGTTAGATGATAAGTCATTCCTGCCGTGTTTCAGCATGTTGTGCTGTTTTGATGGGTAGGGGGCTTTTTTCCCCTGTCGCTTCAGCAGGTGTCTAACGTGTGGTCCTTGGAAGCAGTGTGGACAGCATTTGCTGTGTCAGGGCAATCAGATTATTACTCCTTTGATAGAAAGGCAGATTTTGGCCTTCTGAGCTATTTAAAGTTTCTGAATTCTAGAAATGAGCAGAGTATTTGTAGGAGCCTTCATAAGGAGAAGTGACTGGGGTGTGAAAGTGGATACCGAAGTTTGGTGAGAGGCTGGAGGCTGCGGATGCTCTTCCTGATGCAGGTAAATTGGGTCATGTCCTCTTATGGTGTGAGAAGCTGCTTTTTGCTGAGTGCCGTCCGTCGGCTGTCTTCTCCTACAGGTTACACTGAGTCAGCTCCATGCAAATATGGAGAAGCCGTCAGATCTCCAGGAGAACAGGAGGAGGGTTAGCAAAAGCAGGCACTTTCTGCTTGTTCTGGTGTGAGATTCTGGGTTCTGCTAGCAGTGCAGCACTTAAAAAAAAAAAACAAAAAAAAACAAACAAAAAAAACAAACCAAAAAACAACCAAAAAACTTTTTATTTTTAAGAGAAGAAAACTGTTTAAAAAATATTAGTCCATTTCTCTTCTGATTTAACTATGTTGTCCCTATTTTATTTTTTAAAAAAAAATCATTAAACACTGGTTTAGAACCTTTCCTTCAAAATAAGAATAGATCCTAGCAGGGTGAGAAGATTTAGAAAGGAATCGTAGTGTTCATTAAGCATACAAACTATAAATTAAATATATTGTTATTTTCTAACTCTGTCCTTATTGTCAAATTTAAGTTGGCTCAATCGGCATACTGATT